GCCCCTGCCCCCTGCTGCTCTCATTGGCTGGGATTCCGTCCAATGGGAGCAGCGGGGAAAGCCTCCAGACAAGCATTTTCCTGTGCTTCTATTTCCCTAGCCACCTCCCCCACACGCCTGCAGTGGGAACCTGGGGCTGTCACCCTATTCATGAGGGGGGGGGACACAGGGCTGGAGCGCCAGCACAGGCTCCTCACTGCGGCCCACCTTCAAAGCACACTTGGAGAACCACTGGCTGTCCAATGGGAGCAGCGGGGAAAGCCTCCAGACAAGCATTTTCCTGTGCTTCTATTTCCCTAGCCACCTCCCCCACACGCCTGCAGTGGGAACCTGGGGCTGTCACCCTATTCATGAGGGGGGGGGACACAGGGCTGGAGCGCCAGCACAGGCTCCTCACTGCGGCCCACCTTCAAAGCACACTTGGAGAACCACTGGCTTAGGGTCACCAGATGTCCTGATAGTATCAGGACTGTCGCACTCCTGGGGGCTTTGCCTTGTGTAGGCAACGACGTCCTCCCCCAAGGCGGCCCGATCTTTCACACTTGATACCTGGTCTCCCTACATGGGCTGCCCTCATCACCTGACCTTTCACAGGGGCGTGTTGGGGGGAGCAGCCACTGGCTTTTCTGATCTGCTGCTCCTCCCACTTCCCTGCCATGCACAGAGCCATTCTTACCCCCATCACCGTGCTGCCAGATGAGCTGGCAAAGAGGGGAAGATGAGCTTCACCCGGCCATGGACATGTTTTGTTGGTGCTACCTGAGGTGTCTAGTGTGGAGTATTTAGCCCAATACATTATTCCTGGTTTTCCCCTTTCTTCTTCCTATGGCAAAGAGACTTGGTTCTTATACTGATAGGCTGTGTCTACACTGGGCCAATTATTCCGGAAAAGCAGCCTCATTTCCGGAATAACTTGCCAGCTGTCTACACTGGCCGCTTGCTTTTCCGGAAAAGCACTGACGATCTACTGTAAAATTGTCAGTGTTTTTCCGGAAAAACTATGCTGCTCCCGTTCGGGCAAAAGTCCTTTTCTGGAAAAACTGTTCCGGAAAAGGGCCAGTGTAGACAGCACAGTAGTATTTTCTGCAAAAAAGCCCTGATCGCGAAAATGACGATCGGGGCTTTTTTCCGGAAAAGTGCGTCTACATTGGCCACTGACACTTTTCCGGAAAAAGTGCTTTTCCGGAAAAAGTGCTTTTCCGGAAAAGCATCCTGCCAATATAGACGCGCTTTTTCCGGAAATACTTATAACGGAAAACTGTTCCGTTTTAAGCATTTCCGGAAAAGGGTTCCAGTGTAGACGTAGCCACCAAGTCAAACTGCTGAAAGGTCGTTTGGGAAAATGGTGAATAAGATATTAAAGAAAGTGTTTAAAATCTGTACTTCAAATTAGGTAATGGTGAAGAATTTCACACGTTTGAGGGGGTGTAGTCTGTTTGGGGCGAGGGACTAGCTAGTCACTCCTTAGGGGCGTCAAGAAGGGTTTTCTTTTGCCTTCTGATCATGCTTTCCTCCCAGATTTGCTGGAGCTTTTTATGAATTTCACAGGGAGCGAGTGTTGGCCTCCAAGTTAAAAACAGATTTTAAAAAACACTCGAAGTGGGAGCGAGTAGTTTTGTCTCCTGCTCTGCTGAGGTTCTTATCAAGGACTGTCAGAGAAGAAGGCTACTGGCATCCACGCTTCAGGTCAAAAAGCTGGTTTCTCACTGTAACCTGCCCCTATTTAAGGTTCTTCAGGTCAGTAGAGACCATGTGATGCTGTGTCCATGTGAGACTAGTACAGAACACACAAGGGCCTGTTTCTGTGGCTGCAGTAGGCATCCCTGGGGCTTTGTACCCTAACCATTTTTGCCTCACGAGGGATGTGCTTTTATTTCTGAGGCATCAGATCGGACACTTCTCTGTTAAGTGGCATCACTTGTAACCAGGATTGTTAATTCTTTCTGATGCCTGCTTTGGTCTTTGGCGACTATTACTCATTTGGCATTATTGTCAAACTAGTCAAAGAAACCAAACAGTGGTATTATTCAGAGTTGTTGACTTGAGTCCCAGGACTTGAACTCAAGTCCGACTTAAGTTGCCTAGGTGACTCAACTTGAGACTCGACTCGGGTTCATTGTTTGTGACTTGAGACTCGACTTGAGACTTGCTAATTTTGTTAAATCGACTTGGTGAAAAAGTTGTCCGAAAATGTCGATATTGATGGCTTGTACAAAAGCGACTTGACATTTTTAAAATTAAGACTTGAGACTTGACGTGAGATTTGACTCGAAAGTGACTTTAGGGACTCAAGACACGACTTGAGACTTGAACTGTAGTGACTTGAGACTCGACTTGGACTTGACAATGACGACTTGAAGACAACACCAGTATTATTTTTAAAAAGTAATTTTTGGGAAGACTATTCGGTTTTGTCAACCGAAACGAATTCATTTTGATTAGGGGTTTGGAATGGCTGCCTTATGAAGAAAGATTAAAAAAGACTGGGATTTTTCATCTTAGAAAAGAGGAGGATAAGGGGGGATATGATAGAGGTCTATAAAATCATGACAGGTATAGAGGAAGTGAATAAGGAAAAGTTACTTACTTGCTCCCATAACATAAAGAACTAGGAAGTCACCAAATTAAATTAATAGGTAGCAGGTTTAAAACAAACAAAAGGAAGTTTTTCTTCATGCAGCACAAACAACCTGTGGAACTCCTTGCCTCAGGATGTTGTGAAGGCCAGGACTTTAACAGGGTTCAAAAAAGAACTAGATACATTCATGGAGGTTAGGACCATCAATACTTACTAACCACAATGGGTAGGGATGGTGTCCCTAGCCTCTGTTTGTCAGCAGTTGGGAAGTGGTGACGGGATGGATCACTGGATGATTCCCTGTTCTGTTCACTCCCTCTGGGGCAACTGGCATTGGCCACTGTTGGCAGACGGGACACTGGGCTAGATGGATCTTTGGTCTTACCCAGTTTGGCTGTTCTTATGTTCTTATGTCCATTTCAGGATTCTTTTTCTGGGAGCCATTAATCGATATACGAGTGACAAAGTGGGTGATGTAATATCTTTTTATCAGATCAGCTTCTGTTGATGAAAAAGAGAGAAGTTGGTCCAATAAGAGATACTACTTCATCCACCTTGTGTCTGATATTCTGGGACCAGTACAGCTACAACCGTGCAAACAATAATCAATAGATCAAAGCTCTGTTCAGTGGAATGAGAAGTTCTCCACTTTTCAGTTGTAGGCCTCGTCTACACGACACCATGGATCGAGGCTGCAGCTATCAATCCGCTGGCTGTTGATTTATCTTGTCTGCTTAGATGTGATAAATCAATCTCTGAGTGCTCTCCCGTCGATGCTGGTACTCCACCAAGACAAGGGAGGAGCAGTGTCAATGGGAGAGCAGCCCCTGCCGACCTTACCGCACATAAGATGTCACAGCGAGGATGTCGAGTTCAGCTGCACTACTTGTGTAGCTGAAGTAGATCGAGGGTGCTATTTAATGTAGGCCTCACGATGCTATAATAACTTCACATTCATCATTTGAGTTGGCACTGAAAGTCTTCTATACATATAGTGAATCTTCACCACTTTGGGTCTTCTTTCGATAGGCCAGCCAAACTGGAAATGAAGTATGTCATGGGCGTGTCGGATTTGAAAAAAAAGCTCCCGGAAGCTGCATTTAGGAAAAGTAATTACACTCAAAACAAAGGTATGTACAAAATCATGTACAGGAGGAATACGGAGTGTTTAGTTCCTAATTTTTCATTATGTAGTTGTTTTTCTGAAAGCAGCCCTTTTTCTAGGGCGGCACGAGATACGTCTCATGTGGCCTATCAAAACTTGGAGCCATAGTACTTGCCTTCTCTATCACTGATCCTAGGTTACTCTCTTAACTCATCACACCTACAGTGACACAGGCTACATCTAGACTACAGTGTTTTATCGGAAAAAGGTACACAGATTGCAATTTGCATACCTTTTCCCGATAGTTTTGTCGGAAGAGGCTTTTCTGAAATTTGGCCCGTCTATACTGAGCCAAATTTTGGAAAAACCTCCTCTTTCAGAAGAGCCCTTCTTCCTCGTGGAATGAGGGAGACAGGGCTTCTGAAAGAGCGTGTCTGCTCTTCTGCAAAAAAAGCGGAAGAGCAGATGTGTTCCCTGGATGCGGCGGAGTTTTTCCGGGATACCTCCGTAGTCTAGACATAGCCTCATCCCTGAACCAGCAGGAGACATTCAGCAGCCAAAATGTAAGGCCCATGGCACTAGTGAGCTTTGGGGAGCCCACAGAACCGAGTCGGCAAGGAGCAGCATCCAGCTCTCAGCTAAAGGGAGGGCTACTGTGACTCTTGGGCTACGTCTACATTGGCATGATTTTCCGAAAATGCTTTTAACGGAAAAGGTTTCCGTTAAAAGCATTTTCGGAAAAATCGCGTCTAGATTGGCAGGACGCTTTTCCGGAAAAGCACTTTTTGCAGAAAAGCATCCATGGCCCATCTAGATGCGGTTTTCCGCAAAAAAAGCCCCGATCGCCATTTTCGCGATCGGGGCTTTTTTGCGGAAAACAGTACTATGCTGTCTACACTGGCCCTTTTGCGCAAAAGTCTTTCGGAAAAAGACTTTTGCCCAAACGGGAGCAGCATAGTTTTTCCGGAAAAGCACAGATGATTTTACAGGAGATCGTCAGTGCTTTTCCGGAAATTCAAGCGGCCAGTGTAGACAGCTGGCAAGTTTTTCCAGCCAGTCTAGACACAGCCTTGGTGTCTGTGAGCAGGAGAAATTAAATGGGCAGATTCAGGCATCTGGGAGACGCTTGGAAGATACTGTATTAAGGCAGGTATGAGGAATTGCCATAGGGAGGGGAGGGAAATAGGGATGTAAATGATTAACCAGTAAGCTTCACCCTTAATGGTGAGGCTTCCCAGTTCTGGTTAACTGGTAGGAGCTGGAGCAGCTCTGTGCCCGCCCACAGCCAGGCCCACCACAGGCAGGGGGGGGGGCGGCCCCGGGCCTACCCCTCCCCATACCCACTGCAGCCCTTGCCAGCCCCCTTCCTGGGGAGATGCTTCATTGTGGGCTCTAAAGTACTATATAATGTACTGTCGGGCTTTCCCCTTCTTTCTCTTTCTCTTTCTTTGCCCCAGTTGCCAGGGGTGGGTGGAGGGAGAACGAATGTGAAGAAGAGGGTTTCTGTTTTCAAGTGTGGGTCTGTTAGTTTGTATTTCTTTTGGCAAGGAACTTTAACCATTAGAATATGGGTTATGGATTCCTACTACCCATTTCTGCCATGTCTGATAGATTTAAAAATGAATTTGTAACGGGAAATTCTGCAACTGGTTTCAGTTGACGTTCGATCGGGCCCAGCGTTTCTGTTCCACTGCGTCACATCTGGAATCCAGGGCATAAAATAGGTGTGGTCGACATCCTTCATGGGCATGTTATGACAACTGCCCGGACTTTATATTGTGTGCTCTATACCTCTTGCCTACTCCGGACAACTCAGCAAAATCAATAAAAGTACATTACGATGCTTTTGTGTGTTGCAGCGTTTCAACCGTGAACTTCCCTATAAACTGGTGATAGCAGAAGATTGTCCCTGTGCTGTGAATTCATGCAAAGGTTTAGAAAAATCTCTGCTGTATTTACGCTTTTAAAACCCAGCATTTTCATTCTCTGAATTCTAATCATGCTGGTCAATGTGTTATGCTACAGGTTTTTTTCTTTGTTGTATGTCAGAAGCTCCTACAAGTCAGGTTATTTAAATATAAAGTGCTCTTTGTTTTCTTCCCAGTGTGTTATCAGGACACTTACTTCAGTTTGTATGAAGTGGAAATATCAAATAAAGACCAATATAAAATGGATCCATTATTAGAAAAGCTAAAGGAAAAGGAGTTGGTAAGGATTATTTTAAGTGATTGTAGTACAGGGGTAAATAATCATCTTTGATTTTTATGTGCACTTCCTTAGACTTTAAAGGGCCTCTTCCTAAATACTGCAAATTAGCATCTGAGTGACTTACCTTTGAAAGTGGCACGTTGTATGTTTTTAAGTGGGGATTGTAATTTATGGAGTGTAGACAGTAGATTCCAGGGTACAGGTTGGACCTCCCTGGTCCAGCACCCTTGGGACCTAAGTGGTCCCGGAGAAGGGATTTTGCCAGACCAGGGGAGGTCATTTCTGACTCCTCTGCTGCTGCTCCCTCCCCCCCAGCCCCATCCTGCCGCCCCGCTGGGCTTCCTGGCTCCCCCGGGCATCCCAGCTGGGCTGCACGCTGGGCTTCCTGCCCCCTGATGCCCAGCTGAACCTCCCTTTGTGTCCTGATGAGATGGGGTTATTTTTTATAAAGCAGCAGTTCAGTGGGGTTTTGTACCGTTGCCCACGAAGTCATTTAGTTACAGGGCCTTTAGTGCACTCGATGCGTTACACCGGTGGAGTTGGATCGCTGTAATGCAAGCAGAAAGACCAGATACTGCGCAAAGGGTATCAGGTACCCTGCCCTCAGAGCGCTCCTCTATGGCTGATCGTAGGCCCAATCCAGCTAGGTACTTGGCAGCTGTCCTCCGGACTGGGGATGGGCAATAATTTTTAAAGGGGAGGGGGCACTCCTTGGTTAGTGGTCACAGGCCGCACTTTTCTCTGCTATTAATGGAGGGGGTGGAGGATCTGGGATGGAGGTTAGGTGCAGAAGGGAGCTTGGGGAAGGGACATAGTTTGGGTGAAGGAGGGGCAATGGACTGGGGGTACAGGGGGCTGGATGTGACCCAGGGCAGAGCATTCCACTAGTCTTATGTATCATTTTTCCATGATTTTCCCCATATATGTTGTGAGGGCAATAGGTCTATAAGTGCCCAGTTTCCTGACTGGTATTACCAGTGGGCTCTGGCTGGGAGGCATTTTCTGTAGGTGGCTTCCAGCTGATGGCTCAGTGGGTCCCTCAGGCAGGCTCCCTGGCTGTCACGGCCCCCCGTGCTGCATGTGCCCACAGGCACTGCCCCTGCAGTTCCCATTGACTGGTTTCTGGCCAATGAGAGCTGCAAGGATTCTACTGGGGGGCAGAGACACACACGCAGGCCCCAGCAGCCTTTGAGAGGCATATGGTCGCCAAGGAGCCTGCCCGAGGGACTCACTGGGGGTCCAAATGTCTGGTGGGTAGGATCCAGCCCGCAAACCATATTTGCTCATCCTCAGCTTCCTGAGTTTGAACCTCTGGAGGCAGATCCCTGATGTGAAGAAGAATTTCTCCCTTGCAGTGGCTGCAGGATGCTGGAATGTGTGTTCCGCATGGTGCACAGGCTTTCTTCCTGTGCTTCAATCTACCCCTGTCCCCGATCTGACTGTCATGCAGTTGGGACTTTAGGGGACGATTTGCTACCATCGAGGTGAGCTCCGCAACTTCTGGTCACTGAACCAGGATTTGTGAAGCTTCACTCCTCCTTTCCCCCGGTTCCCTGTCACCCCAACACTTCCCTTAAATAGCATCCTGCTAGAAGCTGTCAAGGCTGTGGCTGACTTCAAGCAAAGTATGCTGAGCTACACCGGCTGAAGGCTGGCCCAGCATCTGGTAGCCTTCTACAGCTTCCCCTTGGCTGGGCTTCGGCCCTGTGTGACATGAGTGGACTCGGGGTGTAATTTGGGGCAGAGCTGAGGCCTGGCACTTCTAGGCTTGGCCATTCATGGACCTGGCACCTACATGTTTGAGCCCCGGTACCTCTGGGTTCACACTGGGTCGAGTGAAATCTCGGAGGAGTCTGTAAGGTCGGGGTGTTGCTGGGATGGTGAATAAGGACTGGGAAGTGAATGCAACTAAGAACATTTCAAATTGGTATTTAAAGAATTAAACCAGTCCAGTTGGGCTGAAAACCCTGCTCTGTGTTTCAGGGAGGAGGCGCGCGCATCGTTCTGCTCTGTGGCTTTTTATTCTACCGTTATTATCTACTCTGTATTGATGTTGGTTAATTGTAGGGATGTTCCTGTATCGTCGTTTAAATGATTAGCCGATAAGCCTGATCTTATCGGTTAATCCAGACAACTACACGCACTCCCCCCCTTGCTTCCTCTGTATCAGAGGCAGCAACGGGAGGGGGGAGGTGGTTGAGGGAAGAAGCAGGAGTCGGTGCCCATGGGGCTGGTTCCCCTTGAGCTCCGGATCCTGTGGAGTCACTTCCCCACTCCTGCACTGAGCGCAGAGGGTGAGGGGGCAGGCGGGAGCTGGTACACACGGGAAGCCAGCTCCCTGTGTGTCTTGGCTACCATGGAGCTGCCTGCCCTCTGCAGTGCTGCCTCTCTGTCAGAGGCAGCAGTGGCGGTGGCGGCACTCCTGATACAGAAGCAGGAGTGCGGGATGACAGGGGGCTCCCCGGCAGGGGGGCTGGGAACACACAGGCTGCCAGCCCCGCCCCCGGGGACCATCGACTAATCGTGCGGCCGCTAAGATTTGGTGTGGTCACACGATTATTAAATTAAACGATATCTAACATCCCGAGTGAATTGCTGGTGATTTTGCTTCCCTGACCCCTCATTGAAAGTGAAACGAAAATTACCAGCCTTATTGTTTCACTTTCAGCTGTGTGTGGGCCGTGTCTTTGCCGTGCTGCCTAAAAGCGAAAGTGACATTGAGGATCCTTTGTGCTGTTTGAATTCACACGGCACCTAGCATATGCAGGATACACGCCTGACACGTATTCCGAACGCTTCGCTATTGATTACAATTTTGAGTCAGTAGCTCAGAGCAGCAAAGGCCAGTACTAATTGAAACATGGCTTCCATTTGACTGGGGTTCATTTGACCTCATAAGTACAGAGTTGATGATGCTGGTGTGTTGCTAAGAGAATCGTTCTGTTACAAAGTTATCGCCGCTGGCACTCTTGTTGGCAGACAGCATAGGCAGGGAGGCCTGGAGGGTTAACTAGTGCCCGTTCTCTAGAGGTGGTGGCACTGAGATAGTGCTGCAGTGCTGTATGCCTTTTATGAGTAATTGATTTGCTTTAAAGAGAAAGAAAAAACTCACACTAGTCTCCTGTGCACTTGTTCTAGGCAATCATCAAATATTTACAAGATCACGGGTTTCTTATTTTACTTGCATCCTCTGCGTTAACAGGGGACAAAGGTAAGAATTGAATAAGGCCTAAATAAATATTTTGAATGTTATGACCTTTTTTTTTTTTAAATTGTAGAGCACTCTCTTTGTTTATAAACACGCTGCATTTTCTTTTTTTCCAGATTTTGACTTAGACAAGCCCATCAATCTCCAAGCGTTGTTTTTATTCACTTCCTCTAGATCAGTAGGTGTGACAGGTAGGGTATTCTATTTGCATCTATTATATGTATAAAAAGATTGAACCGGTAGAAAACTTAGCGCTTATATTTTGATTACATGATTCCCGTTAGGCCTCTTTGCCTGCAGATTGTAGAACTCAAACAGTGATGGGATTATAAACAGTGGTTTCCCTGTTATAACTCTTTGAATGGCGCTCACATGTGTAAGTTAAGAACAGTAAGAACTAGAAGTGTAGTTTAGCAGCTTTGTTGAGTAAAGCACTAGCTATGTTCACTGCTATTTGTGGTCTCTACAATTTGCCTCTGTTCCGTGGAAACAAATGGAATTAATACAAAATGTTTGCGAATTTAAACATACATCAGTTATGAAATATGATGCAATTTCAACTTCTCCATAACATTTTATATCTGGATATTAAGTTTATTTCATGCACTACAGCTGGAGACAGTGTTCATGTCTAAAGTTTATTTATTTAATCATATGAAAAATGGCAATTATTTACTTTTTATTGCTTCTATATAAATCCATGGTACGCCCACATCATTAATACTGTGTGCAGATGTGGTCACTTTATCTCAAAAAAAGATATCTTGGCATTCGAAAAGGTGCACAGAAGGGCCGCAAAAATGATGAGGGGGATGGAATGGCTGTCAGATGAGGAGAGATTAATAAAACTGGGATTTTTCAGTTGGAAAAGAGAAGATTCAGAGGGATATGATAGAAGCCTACAAAATCATGATTGGTGTGTAGAAAGTGAATAAGGAAAAGTTATTTACTTGTTCGCATAACACAAGAACTAGAGGTCACCAAATGAAATTAATAGGTAGCAGTCAACCTGTGGAACTCCTTGCCAGAGGATGTTGCAACGGCCAACAGGGTTGAAAATAGGGATGTAAAATCCTGTTTAATTAATTAAGCAGTTAAACATTGTGCTCCAGCCCTCCGCCGGTTAACTGTAACCTGTTAGCATCACCTGGTAAAGGTGATGCTAACAGGTTAACCGATTAACCAGTTAACCATTCACATCCCTAGTTCAAAAGAGAACTAGATAAGTTCACAGAAGATAGGTCCATCAATGGCTATTAGCCAGGATGGGCAGGGAGGAAATGGGCAACAGAGGATGGATCACTTGATGATTCTCTGTTCTATTTCCTGTTCTATTCATTCCTTCCGAGGTACCTAGCACTGGCCACTGTCGGCAGACAGGCTACTGGGCTAGCTGGACTTTTGATCTGACTCAGTCTGGCCGCTCTTATGCCCTTGGACATCTGAGCGGTAAAGACTTTGAAAATGAACAGTGTCTGAGGCGAGCCTACCTATCTACACACCACTTGGCAGCAAGTTGCCCATCCCTGGCCCTCACACTCTGTCTAGCCGATCTGGTGCTCCCAAACAGCTGCGTGAAAAGCCCTTTGAAGTGAGGAATGTAGGATAAGTGCGATAGGCTTAGGATTGCTCAACCCAGAGAGCCCACAACAGAGCGGCCCGGCAGGGAGCCTGGCTAAGACTGACAGCTGTCAATCATGGGGCCTTGCATTGCAGTTGTGTGATTGCAGCCGGCTAGCTAACCAGATCGGCTGCACAACAGGTGCCTCTGGAAAAACCCGGCAATGGCTGTTCATGGAAAGGGGGTGGGTTGAAAAGGACCATGAATTCCCATGAATTCCTCCCAACAGCAGGGCTATGGAACAGAGATCAGTATCTGCAGCCAGACCTGTGTTTCCTGAGTGGGAGATAAAATTCGCTTCCCAGCTGAAGTCAGTGGTATCTGCAATAAGGCCAGGATTTCCCTCAGTGTGTCCAGTATTTATTTGTATTACCACCACACCTCCAGTTTATACCCTAAGTCCCCTGTAGTGCACCACGTAATGTACGACTGTTGTTTGGTAGAAATGTAGTTTCTAAGCTAATGACTTTCCCCAGCGGTCTGCGTAGTAAAGATGCTGCAAACTCTATTGAAGGTAGCAGCTAAACAGGTTGATAAACAGCACACCTCAATCCCAGTTACCTGAATTTTGAGCTCAAATTTTAAATGTGTATGGAACCAAAAATTCATTTACTCAAAACTCTGATTATCCCAGTATTTCAGATGTTCTTGGAAACATTCTGATACTTGGATCTGATCTCTGTACAGTAGGTAATCTCGCACCCTTTTCTCTACACCCTCACGAACAATTTACACAATGGGGCAAACTAATGCAAGAATTTTAGCTTAGGATTTCTTTCTTGGCTCTGAGGGGCCTTGTGTATGTTTGAGGTCCGCATGGAATTCTCCTGACACGGTGTAGGAGTTACAATCATTCATGAGAGCAAGGAGAACGTTTTTGGGGAACCTGTCTGTGGGTTTTTCCAGACCTTTAACGTTTCTTTAGCATTGATACGTGGTCTGTGTGATTATAAGTCATTTGTTTATATTATTGAAGTACCTTTTTTCTCTTTGCAGTAGAAAAACAAGAAGTGAACTGTGAAAATGAACACAATGAGATCGCTTTAAAAGTAACCTCTATTTTGCCCGGCCTTCACTATGCCATACAAGAAGCAACAAAGTGTACCTCTGAGGAGGGAACCCATTCCAGCCTCTTGGTTAAGCGGTGCTTCCAGAAATTTGCCAAACTTGGTAAAAATTCACCTGCAGTGGCTGGCAAAAGTGACAATTTGTCCTGTTCTTTGGATCGATCACCAAATACGTTTGAAAATGTTTCTCCTTCTGAAAAATGCCCCAAACCGTCATTTTCTCAACTGCAGTCTTACATTTCCGACCCCAGCAGCTATTCTTTGGAAATGTCCATGGCCTTAGGATATTTGGCAGACAGTCCCAAATCCTCATGCGGCGTTTCTGACAGAACTTGTGAAGCTGACTTCTCTTTGGTTTTGCCACCAGACTCGGTACCTCCTGACATAGCAGCGGAGATAAGAGTTGAAACTGAAAAACCAAAGCACACTCCGGAACTAAACCATTTGCATGAAGATGCCCAGGGAGAAACAAACCCAGCAGGGAACCTGGAGATGCAGCAGAATAAGAGGAAATCCAGCAGAGACATTGTGACTAGCACAAAGAAGAAATGGGTCCCTTTGAAAATATTTTCTGTGGTAGACAGCAATAGAAAAGGGACCCCCCAAAAAATGAACATTTCTTTTCCTTTTCCCAAAAAACAAGGGCTCATGACAAATTCTAATGAGCCCACACTTAAATTAGCTAATTTGCAGTTTCCGCATAAAAGGAAAAGAGGTAAGCACTGTATAACCAGGCAGCTCAAAACACCTTCTCTCATATAATCCATCTCTGAAGTTTTAAACACATTGTGCTGGCATATTTAAGGAACCCCACTCAATTCTTGTCTGGTGTAACAATGTTAGCAATAATAATCAACTAGGTTTCAATCTGCAGCGGCAGTCAAAAAAGCAAACAAAATGTTAGGAATCATTAAAAAAGAATAAAAGAAGATCTTATTGCTTCTATATAAAACCATGGGACGCCCACATCTTGAATACTGCATACAGATGTGGTTGCCTCATCACAAAAAAGATATCTTGGCATTGGAAAAGGTTCAGAAAAGGGCAATAAAATGATTAGGGGTTTGGAACAGGTGAAGAGAGATTAAAACGAATGGGATTTTTAATCTTAGAAAAGAGGAGACTAAGAGGGGATATGATAGAGAACTATAAAATCATGACAGGTATGGAGAAAATGAATAAGTTATTTACTTGTTCCCATAACTAGGGGTTATAAAATGAAGTGAATAGGTAGCAGGTTTAAAACAAAGAAAAGGAAGGTTTTTTTCATGCAGCGCACAGTCAACCTGTGGAACTCCTTGCCAGAGGATGTTGTGAAGACCAGGACTTCAACAGGGTTTGAAAAAGAACTAGAAAAATTCATGAAGGGTAGGAATGGTGTCCCTAGCCTCTATTTGTCAGGGGCTGGAAATGGGTGACAGGGGAGATGATTCCCTGTTTTGTTCACTCCCTCTGGGGCATCTGGCACTGGTCACTGTTGGCAGACAGGACACTGGGCTAGATGGACCTTGGGTCTGACCCAGTCTGGCCATTCTTACATTCTTGTGTGTTCTTAGGTTTCAGTGTTGAGGGCCAGTAGAGCAGTTGGTGAGTCAGCACTTGTTGCTAAGCATCCCTTGTTGCTAGTTGACTGACTCATTTTCATTTGTGGTTTTCCTTCCGGCTTCCTTACTGGGGACTCTCATTCTGACTAGGATCCTGCCGACGCTCGGTGGAAAAACGTGGCAATAAACTTGCAGCCAAAATGCCTTGCACATGCCAAGTCCTTGTCATCTGTGGCCACACACTACAGCCATTCCAGACATTTGAAAAATGTAGTGTTTGATCGGTTAATCAATTAAAGGGGAGCAGGCAAGGGGGCTGTTCCAGCCTGGCCGGAGCAGCTCCTGCCTATGACACGCCCAGCTGCCCCATAGACAGAGGCTGCTCCGGCTAGGCTAGAGGGCCCCTGTCTGCGGCAGGCCCCACGGGACTGGAGCAGCCCTCTGCCCGTAGTGTTTGGAGAGCTGCTCCAACCCCCACTAGTTAACCAGAACCGGTAAGCATCATTAAGGGGGATGCTTATTAGTTAACCAATTAACCTTTCACATCCCTACTCTCAAGCCACGTGGGATGTTAAATAAATACACCTAGGCCTTCCCTCTGGGTGTGTGAGCAGGAGCGCAGTGACTTGTCCTGCGAGACCTGGTAACAGGTTGATTCTTGGACAGTGAAAGTGTTTAGAAATAGCGCACTAATAAGCATGTGACTTAAAGCTTAAATTTTAATGAGCACTTACTGGTTTCTTTCAGTCATATACAGGTAGAACCTCTCTAGTCTGGCACTTTCTGGTCCAGCAACATCTGTGGTCCAGCATGATTTTACTTAGCCGGATGTCCACTTTTCATGGGTGTGGCCACATTTCTCACAGTCCCATTATGTTTGCTTACAGGCTCCAGTCCTGGCTCTCCATGTTCTGTGCTGTTTTTAGCTCTCATTTACCCCTCAGTGTCTTCTAAGAGCCCTGTAAGCAGGAAGTGTTGGTAATGCTGATAGACAATATTGACCTCCCACAGTCTAGAAAATTGTCTGGTTTGGAGCCAGTGAGGTCTTGAGGATGCCGGATTAAAGAGGTTCAATCTGTACCCATTTTATAAAACGAAATTGTGATCGGGCATTATCTGTAGTGTGTTGTCAGCAGCAACTTCTGTGTTCCTATATCTATTGAAACGGGGGTTTCTTTTTAATGTTTTTTTTAAACTAATGCTCTTTACAAAGGCTTTTCTTTCTCCAAGGTGCAGAGGTTCTGTCTGCAGAATTTGTACACAGAACACAATCTGAACCTACAACTAAAGGAACTTCTTCACCTGAAGATAATGCTTTGGAAACCAAGAAACAAAGGCAACTGAAAAAAATAGATGCAAAAAAGGTTTACACTTCTGAGAAGGTCCCAGAGCAAACAAAAAGTAAGACAATAAAACCCGTAACTAAAGAGAGCTGTAAGTCGAAAGCCAGCAAGCAGTTGGAATCTGGTAAGAATAGTGTTCTTTGTGTAACTTTGCATTTTGGCTATGTCTAGACTGCCCCCTCTTGCACAAAAAATATGCAAATGAGGCAAAATGTAGAATATTGCTGTGCCTCATTTGCATAATTAATTAGGCTCCGTTTTTGCACAAGAGCAGTTCTTCCTCTTTTTTTCAGGAAGACCAGCTCTTGCACAAGAGGGGGTTTTTGTATAAAAACGGAGCCTAGTTAATTATGCAAATGAGGCACGATGATATTCTACGCTTCGCCTCATTTGCATTTTTTTTTGCACAAGAGGGGGCACTGTAGACATAGTCTTAGAGTATTAGGGCTATCATGAATGTCCATGATTAGTGCATGGTATTAGGGATGTAAAATCCCATTTCAGCAGTTAACCGATTAAACGTTACGTTTAACTGGTTAAGCGATTAAGTGGGATCCCACAGATGGGGAGCCTGGTCCAGCCACAGCCCCACAGCTGCCAGCCCCACAGGGCTTCCGATTAACCGGTTACCAGTCAGTGTCACCTGGTAAAGTTAACAGATTAACCGTTCACATCCCAACACCAGCCTCTTTGATACGCTTTATAATCTCTCCGATAATAAGCCTGGAAAATGTAACAATTCAGATTGCTCTTTTCACGTCTCAGAATGATTCATGCTTTTAAACTGCTTGAAAGCAAATTGCGTATTGTATCTTACAATATTTGGCATCTAACCCGATTTTTAGATGATTACACCATAAATCCAGTGCTTTTAAAAAGAGTGCCATTGCCACAACCCAAAAGAATAAACTAGAGGGAGTTTAAAAAGCCGTGTGGGTTGCCTGTCAATACAGCATGTGCGAATGTTGGCTGGTAAAGATTCTCTGTCTAAAACTGAGAACTAGTATTGAAGTGCCAAAATAAACGATGGAACAGGAAAGCCCTTACCGTTTTTAAACTCAGCATGTTTGACAACATCCTTCGCTCTGTCTCCAGACTTCCTTGCTCTCTGGTCCCTTCGCCAAGTGGTTTTGGGGAGTCATCATACTCCTGGACTCAAATTATGCATATTTATTCGTTTCATTACCATCCATAAAACATGAGCAGTGGTGTGAGCAATAGACTCCCTTCAGTGTGTGTGTTAGATTGGTATTCTTCTCCCACATGTGCGTCGGCTGTGGAGGAGATGAAACGGAGTCATGAGATTGTGGTCCAAGCTCTCCAGTGTCTTTTTTTTGCCCTTAGAGAGCACGCCCTGTTGGTTTGATTTGGTTACACAAGTCCATAGGTATGTAATATTTTAGGGATAGCAGCTGGGAGCAGAGTCCACAGCATGTGGCAAAAAAGGGAAAATTTTAGAAAGAAGAAAAACGCCACTCAAACGTCTTGCTACAGAGCCAGAATTTAACCCTCAGGACTCTGTACGGAGCTTTTTTTTTTTTTCCGGGGGTTCGCATGCACAGCATGAGGGGATAGTTTTGTACTGCTTTTTATTATGAGTCTGCTTTATGTCATATTATATAATAAACAACAAGGCTGTGTCTAGACTGGCAAGTTTTTCCGCAAAATCATCTGCTTTTGCGGAAAAACTTGCCAGCTGTCTACACTGGCCACTTGAATTTGGTTAATCACAAATCTGCCATTAATCTGGTCTCAGAATCACTAATGAAGTTTAGATTGTATGCTGGTTGCAGCTGTTTTAAGATCCTTGTTGTAAATATCTGATAATATGTTGACATTTAGAAGAAGAAAATCACAGGAACAAAATCTGCCCATCATAAAATACTTCAGTTTTGACTTTCAGCAGAGAATAATTATGATAATATTGGTTAAAGTCTGTCTAAATTAATGTAAATATTTTTGATAAAGATTTGTTATAAAAATATAGGGTGCCTAACATTCTCCTCTTACTTCAGAGGGGTAGCCGAGTTAGTCTGCAACAGGAAAAATTTAAAAACAACAAATAGACTAGTAGCACCATAAAGACTAACAAAATCTGACATCTGTGTAACACTGAAAGGAGGCATGATTGAAAAAAAAAAGAACTTCAAAAAGAATCTGCTGAGCAATATAATGGTGAAGAAGAATGAGAAGATAGTATGAACGTGTAGTCAACCTGTGGAGGCTGTGAAGGCTAGGACTATAACAGAGTTTAAAGAGAAGCTAGATAATTTCATGGAGGTTAGGTCCATAAAAGGCTATTAGCCAGGGGATAAAATGGTGTCCTTGGCCTCTCTTTGTCAGAGGCTGGAGAGGGATGGCAGGAGACAAATCACTTGATCATTGTCTTCGGTCCACCCTCTCTGGGGCACCTGGTGCTGGCCACTGTCGGTAGACAGGATACTAAAATAGGCATCTTTAATCAAAAAGCAGGTTCATTAAAAAAAGTACTCATATTCCTTTATTTGTAATTAAGAGATCCATTCTAATATAGAGAATACCTGCTCACACTGATGGTCCCTAATATTAAAAAGGTAAAAGGAAGCACCTGGTTATGCACAATGCAATGGCATTCCCTGCAGCCTGAGGTTTGGGGTGGATGGGAATTAGTCTGGGCTGGCACAAGAAAGAGGGCTCTGTGGCTATGTCTGCACTTCCATAGTAAGTTGACCTAAAGTACAGAACTCTAGCTATGTGACTAATGTAGCTGGAGTCAACATACATTAGGTCTACACTGAAAAGCGCCCTTTTTCGGAGGATCGGGACCAGTGTAGACGCTCTTTTCCGCTTTTCTAAAAGCTTTTCTAAAAGCCGGAAAAAAGCGGCGGACATTTTTATTTAAATGCCGCGGGGGATATTTAAATCCCCCGCGCATTTCCCTACTACGACTCATGAAATTAACATGCCCCTTCCGGAAAAGGGGCCAGTGTAGACGTAGCCTTACAGTATAATTCTTTCTCCTTTCACAATCTGAAGAAATGGGTTGTGCCCATGAATGCTCATGATACCATCTACATGTTTTGTTAGTCTTTAAGGTGTTACTAGTCTATTGTTTTTTAAGTTCTTCCTGTTACAGACCAACTCCTCTACCCCTCTAAAGATATTATATTATGTTTGTGTTGTTTTTTTATGCACATGCCTAGAGACATGGTCATGGGTGCATTATAAACACTGAGCAGAGAAATAAACAAATATTTTTGCTCTCTGGAGGTCTAGACAGCACCCTTATCTCGGAATAAGTTATGCAATTTGCGCTATGCCCAGAGACAAATTGCGTAGCTCATTTCAAATGTATTTCAAAATAACACACTATTTCAAGACATCCCGTAACCCTCATGGAATGAGGGTTAGAGGGATGCCGGAATAGCGCTCCCGTTATTTCGAAATCTATTTCAAAATAATGGGCTCTGGTAAAAGATGTGGAATAGCTATTTTGGGATACCGGAGGTACCTGGAATAGTTCTGCTGTCTAGACGTACCCTGGCTGACTTCGAGGAGGCACCATAATTGTGCTGGGTCTGTGTGAAATTCAGTCTTTGAAATGCATGGATCTTTATGATGTGCTTGGAAGAACTGAGTGTGCATTACTAGGAATCATGGAGCGTGAGGTTGATTTCCTCTTTTTAAAGACTATAGAAATTATGCTGAGAATTAAAAGCAAACCACTGTTAATGCAACATTAAGATTGCAAAAGTAAATGAAAAAAGGGAGGAAATGTAAAAATGACACAGAGCTTTTACATTGTATGTAGATACAGGTTGAACCTCTCTAGGCAGGCACTCTTGGGACCTGACTGGTACCGAACGGGAGAATTTTCCGGACCATGGGAGGTCAATATTGTCTAGCAGCATTGCCAACCCTTCCACTGCTTCCTGGGCTCTTAGAAGACATTTAGGGGTAAATCAGAGCTACATAACAGCACAGAACACTGAGAGCCAGGACTGGTGGCTGTAAACAAACTTTATGGGGCATGGGAAATTTGGCCACGCCCATGATAAGTGAACATCCGGCTAACTAAAATTATTCTGGATGACGGATGTTTCGGACCAGAGTGCCAGACTAGAGAGGTTCAACCTGTAGTATATTTCATAACGGTGGAATTGTTTAAATGTATACTTGAACATATAGGCTGTGTCTACACTGGCCACTTATTCCGGAAAAGCAGTTGCTTTTCCAGAATAACTTGCCAGCTGTCTACACTGGCCGCTTGCTTTTCCGGAAAAGCAATGACGATCTAATGTAAAATCGTCATTGTTTTTCCGGAAAAACTATGCTGCTCCCGTTCAGGCAAAATTTCTTTTCCGGAAAAACTGTTCCGGAAAAGGGCCAGTGTAGACAGCACAGTAGTCTTTTCCGCAAAAAAGCCCCGATGGCGAAAATGACGATCGGGGCTTTTTTGCGGAAAAGCACGTCTACTTTGGTCACGGACGCTTTTCCGGAAAAAGTGCTTTTCTGGAAAAGCATCCTGCCAATGTAGATGCGCCTTTTCTGGAAATACTTATAACGGAAAACTGTTCCGTTTTAAGCATTTCCGGAAAAGGGTGCCAGTGTAGACGTAGCCATATAGTATGAGCAATGTGCTAAAGTTAAGGTTGCATTACATTGTAAACTCACAGCCTCTCTCTGTATGTACAGCGCCTGACACAACGCAGCCCGAACCCTAAAATGTTACTGTACCAATAATAATAGGAAAATTAATTTTTGAATTTCTTGAACTTTAGTTTAAATTTGCAAACTTACCATTCAATAAATATTTTTCCTTGCATACTGGGTATATTTGATAGGGAAACCACTGAAAAGCAATAAATGCCATTTGGACAGTCGGACCTCTAAGGATTGTTCATGACAGAAATCTGTGGTGCTGGATTTAGTATCTGATTTTATTTTTCTTGTGCAGTAAAGGAAGACGTTTTGTCACTGTCCTCAGATGAGATTCCGTCGGAAAGTCAAGAGACAGTCAGTGGTTCTAATGAGACTTGCACGGAAAGCGTGACTGCTCAAGACGTCAGCCGGACTCTAAAAGAAAGTAACTGCGAATCGCATGCTTTGAATATGCTGGCTGATCTAGCTCTGAGCTCTTGCATTCCTCCATTTTCCCATGACGATAGTAGAGTTTCCTCTCCCTGTGACCTGACAAGAGAGCGACGTTCTCTTCGTAAAAGGAAGCCTTCACGAATTGCTTCGGATCATGAATACCACCGGGTGGACAAACAGCTAAAGGGAGAATCCTCTTCTAGCAAAACACAGAATCAGAAACTTTCTTCTCCTGAAAAATCCGATGCGAGAAAAGACCTTGCCGCCTTCCCAGAAGAAAAAAGCCCTGTCATTTCCAGCAAGAAGAACTGCACCAGTCCTAGCTCTGCAAAAGCCGGTCCATTGCTTTCCCAGGAGGCGGTAGATACTCCAGATATGAACAAGCATTGTTCTATCGCCTCTGAGCACTCCTACGCTTTGCAGCTGTCAGAACATTCTAAAAAATACACCCTCCCCAAAGGAGGCCTGGGTCCCGCTGCTTTCCGAAATGGCGCGAAAAGTGCTAAAGCCGGCCCGCTGGTTGGGAAAGTCTTGCCTTTCCGGCATCAGCAGAACCACACTCACGCGCAGAAGCAATGTCACGACGTGGTGGTGAAACGCAGACGAGGCACACTGTTTTCCCGGTGCAAGGAAGACTTCTCCAAGTCTCACACGATCAAGAGCTGCGAGGGGTCGGTGCAGGTGACGTGCCGATGGGACGCGGAGTACGTCTTCAGTTTAGATAGCAAATACACCAACAATTCTTTAGAGAAAACCGTCATTCGTGCTCTGCATGGGTAAGCGGTTCGGTGGTGGGTAAACAGTGCGCATGTCTCGCCCTAACTTCCCTCCAGCACTTCTGGAGCACTTTGGAACAGGGATTTCTTTGGAGTTGGTCTACACTAGAGAGTTAGGTTGACATAAGGCAGCTTATGTGAATCTGTGCCAGTGTCTACACTGCTCCCACTGATATAAGTGCCCGTCTACACCAGCATAACTGCACCTCTGTGAGAGGCAGAGGGCTTAGTAGTTAGGGCAAGGCAGTGTTTGCGTAGACGAGGGGAGGGCAATATTTTTTGAAGGGGAGGGCCACTTCACAAATTTCTGAAGTGGTCATAGGCCACCCCAGAAGGGGTGGGACCTCGGGTGGAAGGGGCGGGGCCTCGGCAGAAGGGGCAGGGCCAGGAGGCTTCCCATGCTCCCTGCCCAGAGGGAGCACATGAAGTCTTTGCTCCCCCAACCGCCCTCGGTGTCTAGAGAGAACTACCAGATGTTTTGAACCACTGGAGGTTCCCTCTAGGTGCCTCCAACCCCTGGCAGGGGGAGGAGACTTTGTTCACTCATCCCGCCCCCAGGGCAATCAGGGCCCGGGGGTGGGGAAGTGTGCAAAGTCTCTTACCTCCTGTCCCTGCCCTGCCAGGGGCACACGGTGCCTAGAGGGAACCGGCA